TTTTTGTATGTCTTAATATTTCTAACTTCAACTAAAATCGCGAATTTTTCTGCTTTTAGCATTTTCAATTACTAAATATGCTGTTCCTCAGTCAGGTTTCTGAAACCGCAAATGACCATCGAGTGCCGTTGGAATTAATGAATTTCAAATTAAAATCGAATATTTCAATTTCAACCAAAATCAATGAAATTTGCTTGGAGTTGAACAAAGCAAACGAAAGACTTAAGCAACGAACCTGGTTGGCGCTGAGTGAGTGTGTGTTGCAATGGCGTTGTACTCCGTTTGTGAAGGGGAATGTAAAAGGAATTTATTTGCTGATTATGTGTATTATGAAATTTAAATTATTAAATAAAGATATTTTGTGCTTCCTGTAGTGGGTGTGGTCTTTACATTCACTAGGAATTGTATACAATTATATACTGCAAAATATAGATAATATTAAATTGAAAAAGAAAATTGAAAATAGAATAATTTTTAATTTTTAATAGATAATAAAATATATATTTCTTCAGTTAACATAAAAAAAAATATTGAATTGAATTTTTTTTAATAATTTTTTTTTTTAATTTTTTGAATTATTGTTTTACAATTTTACTTATTTCAAAAGTATGTACCAATACATATGTATTTATATTTATGTATGTTTGCTCAAAGTTTTCTCATTGCCGATCATATAAATTTTTAAAATATTTTAAAGACCTGAATAGGCTTTACTGCATTATTAGTATTCCAGTAAACATATAATAGTGAAATGTGGCAACCGTTCGCATAGATCCGAATACATCTAATACGACTAACAATATCTCTTTAAATAATATAAATACTAAATATAGTGTGAGCACGATATTTTTTTTCTCACAATTACGATCACGATATTTATTACGGTAGAAATTAAAAAAAGCTGTATTTCAAAAAAGAATAACAGGGAGGCGTTTTATAATTATTAGTAGAGATGTTCCATAAAATATGTAACACAGAATTACAAATTTTAAATATCATTTAATTCAAGAAAATTTATTTCTGGTAAATTATAAATTCTAATTAAAAATCGTTGTAAGTTTTATCAGGAACTAAAGTAAGTTAGCCCTAACAGATTTTTTAATAGTTTTTTATATTATTTTTATAAAATAAAATTTTTTTGTTAATGTTGCAATTTTTCATAAAAATAGCATCATACAAGTCTTAGTTGAGTCAATTAGCAATTTCCCATATACATTCGTATACAGTAGACTAAACAAACCGTCTTCATATAAGAACTGCTTCCCCACTTCATTAAGTTATAGTATGAAATACCATTTACCTACAATGTCATACGAACGTACCGCTATAAATTAATAGTGTTAACATATTTTATTTGCCCATTTAATGTAGTAAAAATATGCTTTTAGCATTCTTCCCGCCTTGTTCTGTTCGTGCCATATTGCGCACAAAATTAGATCACTGTGGAAATTCCAATGAACTTCCTGCTCTTTAATAAAATGCCCGCAAACAACCGCTGCGATTGTTTTGTTTGTGTGAAACAGAAAAACCAACGCGCCTCACGTTTTCCAAGTGTTCACACAATGGGACAACACGAAATATAAAATGTTCTAAATCTCTTCTAGTTAAGTTAACGTAACGAATTGCGGCAAGAGACAACTGTATCTAGCAATCAAGATATACTCGTAAACAATTGTGAGCCTTAACTCGGCATGTGAATAGCAAATCAATAGTGATTGTTGTTTTATTATTTTCATTTCTTAACTGTCATTCTTCTTTTTCTGTTGCCTTTGCGCCCCGACACCTGTCAATGTTGCAGCTAATAAATTCTGAGTTCAACGCGAAAACGTCATAAATCGAATAGAAATATATATTTTTTTTACGCGCGAACACAATACTTCTCATTGTACACAACAACATTGTGTGACGGGCAGAGGGATCGGGCTGTTTTGCTGGTGAAACGGTCATGTCGCAAAGTTATTTTTAGAAATTAAAATCAATTAATTTTCCCGCACAATTGACACATACTGCCAGGTTGTTGTTGTATAATACGCGGTTACACGATTTGTTGTTGTTTGTATTTGTTTTAATAACATGAAAGTAACAACAAAATAAAACAAATGGTACGGTTACAGGCACAGTTCATGGCATATTCAACGTATCTGCCCACATCAGTACTCCAATTACCAGCTGCCAGCAGCCAGCAGCCGCTGACGTGTTGTTGTAAAATCCCAGCGTAAGCATTTTCCAAACTTTGGGTTATTCTACATTCCCCCATTTGTTGTTGTACTCGTATTTCTATAGCGTTTCATTTCAGTTTTTAATTTATTTTATTTATTTTCAATTTTTCAGTCAGCGTAGCACAATAAAAAATGTAATAACTTCGTGACTAGTTGGCATTTACATATTTATGTTTGCATTTTAATATACAACAAGCGTACAAACACATACACACATATACTCGTATGTATAGCATATGAAGTAAATTCGCGCATATAAATTTCAAACAATGTTCGAATAAAATAGCTACTGCCGTCGGCACTACATGCCATATATATGCATGCATGTATGTATCAGCATGTGTATAAGCAAAGGTACTCACGTATGCTTAGAACTTAGCTCGCTTACTTTTGCTGCTCACGCCTGATCGAGCTTGAGCGCAAACTGGCTTGGCGTTGGAAAACCCCGAATCAGTTTCAAAAATCGGCCGCTGGCAACTGCTAAACAAACACGAATGACAACAACAATAGCACAAAGTAAATAACGCACAGTGTGTGTATAACGGTCATAAAATGCAAAGCAATTTCAAATTTATAAAGTTCTTAAGTAATACTGAATTTCGAAACATTACCTACATTATTTAATTATTGTACAATTATTTAATCGTAATCTTACTATTCATGATCATTACTGAAATTATAACAGAAATTAAACGTTATAATAATTTTCTTGATTACCACATTGAACATGAATTGTTATTATGTAATCATAATCGCGCAATGATTACCATTTGTAAGAAGTAAATCTTTAATTATCTAAGTACAATAGATAATACCTTTAATAACAAGTTAATCTTTAATTATTTTATTACAATACTTTAATCATAATTATAATTTTTATGATTATTATTAGTAACAAGTACATCTTTAATTATTTAATTACAATATTGTAATCGAAATCATAACATTCATGATTACCATCAGTAACAAGTACATGTTTGATTATCTACATTACAATAATGCAATCGCAGTCCTAATTTTTATGATTACCATTAGTAACAAGTAAATCTTTAATTAGCTAAATACAATTAATGTAATCATAAACGTAATTTTCATAATTAGTATTCGTAATAAGTTAAACTTTTATTATGAAATTAAAATACTGTAATTGTAATCATAATTTTCATGATTACCATTAGTAACAAGCAAATCTTTAAATATCTAAATTACAAATTCTCATTTTAGTCATAATTTTCATATTGTTATTGTAGTTTTTGTAGCAGCAGAATTATGCCGAGTTGACAGACCTTGGCCCGATAAAATCCGGGTCCGTTCCGGTTGCGTAAACACTACTGTCGTGGGAACGGCTATAATTTTCATGATTACCATTGGTTTTATACTTTAATTATCTAACTGCATTACTAACTACAATCGTAATCATAATTGTGATAATAATGATTACACTGAACAAATGACAAAGCAATATCGTTTAGGGAACCAAATTACTTGTAAGTGTATATAGAAAATTGGTGTAAATCCGATCTACTGTGCAACGCGTTGAACATGCGTCTCAAGGCGCATATTAGCAGCGCAAAAAAGTAATTAAAATTTTAAATAGACACGTACATATACAAAATATAAAAAGAGAGAAAAATGTTTTTAATATCATCACAAACACATTCAGCCAATTTCAAATCGAAATAGTATCAATAAAATATACATATCAATGGTAGTAACAGCTCAGTTTTTAACTACGCGCTCAAGCTTATGCTATTCAGTGTTTGAGCGCTTTTCCACGAATCTCTTAAGAACAAAGCGCACAGAGTATTGAGCGGCGTTAATGGCATAAAAGTCAGTTAAAACGGCAAAACTAGTTCTAGCATGAAATGCAACTTTAGTAACACCAAGCTTTATTTTTTTGCTTTGCACCACTGACGCGCGGAAATTCTAAAATACAAAGTAAATGAAGAACAGTTTGAACGATTAGCAATACAGCTACGCTTTGGCTGGAGCTGAGAGCTTTAAGCGCATGCATTTGCGCTCACATTGCACCCTTACGTATAAACACAAGCTTAACATTTACGAGTGTTCGGGGCTCCGTGGCGCTGTCGTGTTTTTATACACACACGAACATTCGCGCGGGGTTGAGGGTTTTATCGCTTGGACGGGGGTGTTTTGAGTAACTCAAAATGTGGGCTTTCACAGCTTGCATAAATGCATTTTCGTTTGGGAATTTTCTCTGAGTCGCCTCACTTCAGATCGCACCCGATCGTTGTGGCGTCATACCATCCAACACGCAAACGTCTCGATTTGCATTGCTAAGCGTTTGGAAAATGGCAGCACTAAGTGAGGTAAATCATACGCTTTGGAGTTTGGCGCGGCGCAACAGAAATATTTAGTGCTGTTATAGAAGCTGTGGCGACTAGTTTCAGAATGACGCGCTTTGTTGACGGTATACTCAGCGGCATTCGCTCCGCCAAAGGCCACACTGTATGATTGATCTGATTTCGATGGAAACGTACGCGGAAGTCAAGGCTGTGGTTATCGCGCACCTTTGCTAATACAACACAATTTAAGTGGCTAGATAAAAAACGATTTCCTTTCAAAAACAAATATAGCAAATAGTTTCTTAAAAAAGTGAGTGTGCGTAACCGACGTATTCGTAAGGCGCTTTATAGTGAGTGCTTAAAAATTTTTTTTTATAAAAACTTAGAAAATTTTATTACTAAAAAAATCTACCAACTGTACTTTTGTGAAGTGTTCAACTACAACACATTTTTGCTTCCGCTCGCCTCATTTCAGTTAACTCAACGCAATTGCTTGGCGCCACCCACCATAGTGCCTCATCTGCAGCTAACACCTTCTACTACACACACAACAACGCCGATGCAATCATCCGCTCAACTCTCGCTTTCACTTAAAGTGGAAAAAGCAGTTTGCGCAAACGCATTTCTCGAACCATCCAACACATCCGCGTCCACGTCCTCTGCGTCGTCTTCGTCTACCTACAACGATCCTTTCGCCGCCTATGCCGAAAACTTCGATCTATCACTACTACCTCAGGATTGTGCTCAAACAAACGGGAATATACCCACTATAGTATATCAATTTGGTTGTAATACACCCACTACACCAACAACAACGCCAACGTTGTCCCCATCCGCCGTGCCGTTTCATAACTTATTAACGCCACCACAGATTAAAGTCGAGCAAGCTTGGTCGTTCGGTTCCACTATCTCCCTGCCGGAGGAGATCAAGCGTGAGCCACAACCACAATCGATGCTTAAGTCGCCGAATCAATTGATACCACCACCACCGTATCCGCATATTTATCCTTCACCCCAATCGAGTCCCGCTCAATCGGAATACGGTTTTCCGCAATCACAATTCGCCAGTTGTTTCGAGTCGCAGAGTTCCTCGTTGAGCTCGTCGCGTTCATCATTACACCCCTCATCGCCATATCCCTCGCTAGATGCCTGCAATATTAAGCAAGAGTTACACATCCTACCACCGTCGCCACCAGAATCAAATTGTGAAGCACCGTCACCGCATTCGTCGTGGCCCGATATTAAATCGGAACCGCTCGATGCTGATGTGGAGACTTTGATCGATCTGAATATGTTGCTCGATAAAAAGGAGTTCTCCAACGGAGCTTATAACGGTTACAACAACGGCAACAGTGAATGTCATTTGAAACCGACTACAGCGATGCCCGTACAACAACAACAGCTGCATCAGCAACAACAACAACAGAAAAGTCAGGATCATCAAATGCTACGAGAGTTCTTCGCAGAGAACCACATCCCCATGGGTTGTAGCATGAATGAAGTTGGTGGTAATATCGAACAAGTGATCTCAATGGCACTCGAGGATACGAAGAGCCAGGCCGTGGAGACCTGTGCCAAACTGCAGATATCACAAGGTAAGTAATATACTCATATTAAAACTCAATGCATTTTGGCGTGTGATTTCAAACGATTCTTTATCTCTTTTATAACAATTGTTCCTTCCTCCGTTCGATAATAGACATAATATCGTTAATTTTTAAGGTTGCTGGGAAGTTTCATAGTATTTTTAAGAAAGTTTCTAAAGTTCCGAAACCCAAATTTATCTTTAAGACTTTCAATTTAATTGGGAATGTTTCAAGGTAGTCAAGAATTTAGTCTTCAGAGGCTGTAGCAGTTTTAGTCCAAATACCACATCTTAAGAAATTCCAACCTCAAATTTAACAAAATATCTGAAATCTAGTTTCGGTGAACTCTAAAAAATTCGTGATATCAATATCATAACCTCAAAATTCATACATCATTCATGACTTAACGCAAAACTATTTGGCTTGAGGTCCACTTTACAACCTTTCTGGATTATATATTATGTTCTTCATCATTTCGAATGTCAAGTTCGTTTCGTAAACTCATACATTACAGAAAGACTACGAATTATCTTTCAAAAATTTTTCTCTATAGTATTATGAGATCAGAGCGCTTTCTACGGGACTTTAGTACGTGGTCGAAATGCTGCCGAAAGTTTTGTAGAGCTATTTATGCTATAACCTCTATGTGCTAATAAGCATATAAAGTCACATATATTTTGCAACCGAATTGAAGATTATTATATAAAAAATTTATCAGAGGGTTTAAAGATGTACTTTTCTTTTCGAATAGTGACTGCGTCTATTTTACCGACTCTCTACTGGAATCATTGGGTTTAATCGTTCTCGTCTCTTTTTCAGATCCCTGCGATTGGTCGGCATCCCAAGCACACTCTTGGCTACGTTCCACAGTAGCACAATTCAAATTGCCAGAAATCGAAGATTTGGAGGCGAAGTTCCCAGAAAATGGTGCGGCACTGATATTACTCAGTGAGGAAGAATTTAAGCGACGAGTGCCAGAGGTGAGTGAAAAACAAAAACATTTTGTGAAGAGTCGCATTATCGATAAATGCAAAAACATTTTTCTGAAGATCAAATTATCGATAAGTGCAAAGCAATTGCATACAAACGGTATATCGATAAATTCCAAGAAAGCTCTTATTAGGGCCAATAACTTTCCTAAAAATTATATACCAAATTTCAATTGCGCAATCGCAACTTGTTTACTAAGCCGTCCCTTGTGTTAAGTAGAGCACAGAAAAACAAAGCGCAAAATGCAAGGTAGCTTTTCTATTATAACTGATGTCATGTATGTTTGTGCGCGACACCGTAAATGCCGTAAGCTTTAATATGCGTTTGCTCTAAAAATACAGTTTTTACAGCGAGTTGGTTCAGATACGGGCGAGCGGAGCGGCATGTGCGGAAGACGCTTTCAAAGATGCTTAAAGGTGGACAATTAACGAAAGCACTGTTTATCATTAAAAGACCCAAAAACAGCAACAAAAGAGTGGAAAGAAGTGGTCGCACCAGCTTCCCAATACTCATATAACAAATACAAATGGGTTACAAAAAATCAATTGGTCAAAATTTAATTTTGCACATAAATGGACAGTTGGAAATTAATCAAACACAAATAAATAGGTAACAACAAAGCAGCAAACTAGCGAAGATAAGACAAGAGAATCGAGGAAACAAGTTTCGTAACTGCGTTGACGTCATTTTCGTATATGCCCGACACACGTACACACAAACTAAATCAATGAAGAAGCAGCGCTCGCGCCTAAAAGTCATAATTAAACTAAAACCCAAATAGCAACAACAATGCCAGCGCAACAGTAAGGTGCTCAAACGCCACCAACAACAACAACAAAACACGGCTGAAACTAGTAATGATTAGTAAGCTTTTAACGCACCACAACACCGACACAAGTGGCCAACGGTGAGCAGTGCAGAGCGTGGATCGAGTGACTAGTTAAAAGCAATAACAACAAAAATGTGTTAAATTTATTTTTGGACTAACCAAATGGAAGATCCGAAAGAAAGGAGGAAGACTAATGGAAAAAGTATCAACAGTAATCTAGTTGAAACGCTGGAATGCAGCGATTAAAGTGGTAGAGGGAGAGCGCGATAGAGTATGAAAAGGAGCGAGAGAAGCGCGTTAAATGAGCTTTATTGATGTTGAGTTTTTACTGTAGTTTTTTGTTGTTTCTTGTTGTTTTTGTTCTATAAACGGGTATGCAAACGAAAGTAAATGACTAGCACCAAATGATATGGAAAACAAGTGCAACAATAAGGCAAAAACAATAAAATTAAAACGAGCTACACTTGCGCAAAATATTGAACGGTGTTGCCACCGGTAGAAACACTGGCTATTTGTAGTACTCAAGAATTTCGAATAAAAATTTTAAAATACCCAACAAAAATTGCGATAAGCATAAATTATATATAATTTTAAGACCCGGGCACACCCCAGTTCTCTTGCGATCAAACTAACCTAACCTACCCAACTTTGATGAGCAATTCTTTGAAAAGTCAAACAGTTGAATCCCTTCAAATACGAGTATATAATTTCGTAAACAGAGGAATAATTTGTTAGCCTCTCTCGAGGTCAATAAGAAACTATCGGAAAAACGATAAAACCTCGAGATTTTTAAGCCAATAACATACAAGATTTCTTGTAACCCTCAAGTTATGCTAACTTTATATTAGGACTATACTTTTCTCCAAAAAATTTCTTATAAATTAGGAGAATTAGTAGTTATCCTGACCTCCGAAGAACAGAAGACCGAAAAATTTCGAAGTTTAGCATTATTTTGGAACTCAGTACAGGACCTCAACAACGTTTCTAAAATATGAAGTTAACCTAAAACGAAAATCAGAAGTAATGCTAAGACTTTGATCCCATGTCATGCAACAAATATTCTGAATTTATTTACAATTTCAACCGCTTATTTCCATAAAGACCCTTAAGAGCATTTCTAATCATACTCTCAGAGAAGTACATAGCGAGAGAAAACCAAAAAAGCTTCCGAAAGTATAAGAAAATGATTTTTAAATCGTACGGTAACACCGATCGGCAAACTTGCAGCAATATAAGCCAAATCGACGAAATCAGAAACGCGAAAAAAATTGCGCAAAACAAAAAATGAAAAATCGAAAATGACAACAAAACCGGCAAATGCAACAACAGCGGCAACAACGACGTGCTCGGCAGCAATCAAAACAAATTCGTAACCAGAACGACTTCATATCGACGACACTCTTTTGGTAGTGCTAAGAGGAAGAGTAAGCAGAGTGTTGGTAACAGCGACAGATTGACCGTGATCACGTCAAAGTCGCACACCAGCCAGACACAATCGACGTCGCCGAAGAAATGCAATCGATGAATTGAAAAAGCGAAATGAAAAAATCAGTAACCGTGGTCATGGACGAAGGTGAAAAAGAATGCGCAAATGTGAAGGTTGTTTGGTGAAATTGTAGCTGTCGCCGCTATCATGACGACAGCACCGTCACTACGTTCGCACCGCTGCAATGACTAACGGCGGCGGAAGGGGCCCGAAAGGCCGTTCGTTGTTGTGGCTTCATCGCGACCAGCTGAAAAATTATTATGCGCCGAATTGTGATAATTTACCCAAAGTTGATGCGATGTGCATAATGTGAAAAAGCAACAAAAGCGGCAGCAACAACAACAACAACAACAATATAAATTTAGTTGTTTGGGGAAAGAGACGAGCAAGCTGCCGAGTGGCATGTTGAACGCCACAGCAACAACAACAATTCCGTGAACAACAACACTATAAACAGTCGAAACAGTCGAAACAGCAATGGCAAAAACAACACAACTCGCATGACGATGTGGAAATAAAGTAACTGAGCCAACGACCAGCAACGACATTGCAAGGTGAAAGTGAGGCGATTTTGTCATTATGGTTGTTGTAGTTATATATACAATAAGACCGTTACTGTTGTTGTTGTTGTACAACAATACTGTGCCGTATTGTAGATTGCGTGTCTTTCGGCGCTTTGGCTGTTTTGTAGCCAACCACGGTGTTGGGCCAGTCTCAACCCACCGCCCGCTCGCCTCCCTCGACGCACATTCACCACCATGACAGCCGATTCGGCGCAGTGACGATGGGGTCTGATCGCTACTGGCCCACTCTTATGCTCTTGTCTATAAATATCACAATATTAATGGTTTTTTGGGTTTCGTTACTCGTTACTCGTTTGTATTGTGTCTGCTTGTTGCTGTTGCAGTTTTTGGTACTGCTGTTGGTTAGCGTGTCAATTGTAAATGAAAATATTCCATCAATGCAATCTCGGCTGAATGGCAACGCGCCGGCTTTGTGTTGCATTTGGCTTTTCATTTATTTTTTGTTTATTTGTTTTTGTTGCTGGAAGCATGCGTGCTAGTGCTGTTGTTGCTGTTAGAGAGGTGGCATTTGTTGCTTCTTTATTTTTTGTTTTTCTTTAGCAATTTGATTTCGGTGACGAGTAAATCAGAATTGATTGAACTAAATGGGAGAAATATGAAAATATCGATATCAAGTTGAAATCATTGCGCTTCTTCTTCCTAATTAGGTTTAAATTAGATGCTACAAAAAGACATTGAATCTCGAAAAACTGTATGAAATAATTTAAATTCAACTTCTTCAGTTCTAGACTAGGCCTCGAAAGTCACAAACTCAACTAAGTGAAAAGCTAAAGATCGGATTCTCGCCAGAAATGAACTAACCTTTCTATATAGCTTCTAATTAAAAAATATATATTTATATGGCATAAACTGAACGATCGAAATCAAGTTCTGGTATAGAAAAATGTTTCATTTGACAATATATCTTTACGAAATTGAGCATGGGCTGTGTTCCAAAGCATAATTTCTGAACAAATTGTTCAGACCGGACTACAATAGCATATAGCAGCTATACAAACTGGCCGATAGAAAGAAAACTGTAGAAAAAGACTACAAATTATATAAAACAAAAACAAATAAAAATAAATAAAAAATATTCACAACAAAAATTAATTTAAATTAATAATTTACTACAACACAATATTCGAAATCACAATAATTGCACAATCACAACTCAGCTTTTTATATATTTATAAACGAAAACATACATAAATATATTACTGTTCAAATCGCATAATCATTTTCTCTACACTATTAATCAAAACAAATAACAAACAGAAGAGCAATAAGCTTACAAAAAAACTATTTCCAAAAACTAAGCCTCCGCGATAGTCCATAGCCCACATGCAGTAAAAGTATAGTTTGGTCGAGCTAACATATATATGTATATATGTAAGCATCCGATTATTTATATATTTAATATATATATTGATATATACATTTATATATTTATATATACAGCAATATATGTAGTCAGTTGCAATCAAAACAAAATGCTTATTTTGGTTAAACTTCCAAAAATCGCCGCTAATACCAGTTATTTGTCGTTATCGAATTGTGTAATCGCGCCATCTCTCTTTCCACACACGCACTCTCACACTGCGCATTCGTTGGGCGCTTACATAATTCTTAGAAAAGACAAGATAAAAACAGAAACTGTAATGATGGCACCGCATAAACATTAAATTACTAAGTTTTGACTGACTTTGGAATTAACTTAGCGTATGCAAATGAGAGCTGTTGGCTTTCGTCGCGACAAGGCCGAATTTCGATACAAAATGAAATGCATATATATAGGTATACATGTATTTATGTGTGCATATGCGTGATGAAAATATGTAGCAGCGAGTGTGTAGTACGCTGTTGCCCATGGCTGCGCAGCCTTATTTTTGGGTTTTATTGACTGACACAGTTAATGGGTGTTGATATTTTCGGTATTGCTCATTATGGCCTCACGGGAAAATCGTTTGTTGAGATAATGGATATATACATGTGTATATTAAGTAATTATGTAGATAGTGTAAATAGTTAAAGGATAATTGCAGTATTCCATACAACATATCAATGTATATACAAATATTAAGTATTTTGAAAGATATACAAGTACATATAAGTGGTTGTTGAGGTGATGATTCTAAGCCCTTGCCCGATTTGAAACTATAATTACATGTTAACCTTTTTTTGTGCTTTCCACATTTCATATTTACCGCTTTTAAACATATTTACTAAATTTGGTTCATTCACATCTTTATCTCTACCTACCCTTTCTATATGATAAGTGATACCTCATCTTCGACTGAGAAATTGACTCAATTTCTTGTGATAAAAAGAAGTATTATGTCCTTATAAGCCCAAAGTACATTAATATTATTTAGGCCTCAGGATCGGCGATTACTACTTCAATGTAGTCTTTTTCCTTTCCAGCGAGTTTTTTCTTCAAGTCCGAGAACAAAGAATAATCGATTGAGAACAAAATCCGCAAGTACTGTGGATGCAGGAGTAATTTGAAGACATTTTTCCATCGCTTTGTCTCGATTGTAAGCTCGTTCGGAACTTTTTTGTCCAAAACATTCCTCTGATATCTTAAGAATATCAACTATCTCGACCAACTTCATTTACGGTCATCCAAAGTTATTTTCGTCTGCAGCTCTTTTTTTATATATGAAAACATGCGTCACGGCTCAATTGTGCGACCAAATAAGGCAACGGCTACAAAACATATGTATTCAAATGGAGAACTTTTCAGTTTTCCGAAATATACATAAATTCACATCTTTTCGTGGTGGGAACTATGGATCTTTTTTTATTTCTATTCTGGTTTGTACTGTTGTATAAACCACTATCTGGTAAAATCATACGAGTAATGGGTATTTGTACCGCCGTACAAACTCGAGTAATTACTTTTTTTATTTGAAAATTTGCAAAAATTCATAAAAACTATCATATAAGATGATAACAATTTATTTATAAGCTTAATAAAAATCGTTGATTTATTTTATTTCAGAGCGGCTCTGACCTATACGCACAGCTAGAGGTATGGCGCTATCATTTCAACAACAATGCGGCAGAAAGCGACGGTAAGCTTCATACTGCAACACTTTAACCTCCTTTTGTGCAAATTAATCAACGAGTTTTTTACACTTTTAGATGACGAAGATATGCTGCCCACCACAAGCGCTCTAGCTGTTGCCGGCACAACAACAACCACAACCACAACAACAAAAGCAACTGACGCCAAGCGCACCGGCCGCAGCGGTGGCTCACACATACACCTTTGGCAGTTCCTCAAGGAACTTCTCGCCGAACCGCATGCTCACGGCACGGCCATACGTTGGATCGACCGCAACCGAGGCATTTTCAAAATTGAAGATTCGGTGCGTGTAGCTAAATTGTGGGGTGGACGCAAAAATCGGCCAGCTATGAATTACGACAAATTGTCGCGTTCCATACGGCAATATTACAAAAAGGGTATCATGAAGAAGACCGAGCGCTCACAACGTCTGGTCTATCAGTTTTGTCATCCCTATCAGTTGTAAGCGAGCAAAGAATTTTGACGAAAGTTGTAATTGAGGCGACGCGTAGAAAAAAGACATTTAGGTATGATAGTTTGGTGTAACAAAATAATGGCCTTAAAGACAAATCATTAATTTATTGCTATTTATTTATTGAATATATACAAAATATTTATTTATTTATTTCAATTATAACGAAAACATATTTATTCTTGGATGCTAAGAAGTTCAATAATTTATTTATTTATTCAATTATTTATTTATTTATAAACGAAAGCAAGTGCCTGTAAAATTTTACAACGTTGTTATTTTAGAGGCAATAGCAGTGCTTAATTATGCTGTTGATAATTCTTGAATCTCTTAAATGTACAGTTAGTTTCGTATGAAATTTGGCAACGTTGTAACGGTTTAATCGAACATTTGATATAACAACATCACTGAAAGATTTATAAATACACCTAGTAGCGAAGTAGCTTGGTAATGCATATGGTAATGTATGCACTTATTGCACATTTATAGCCAAAAAGGGTTAAACACAAATTAGAAATGTATTTTCTTGAAGCAAAGATGATACAGTATATAAATTATCACTTTTTTTTACCGTTTATGCAAAGTGTTTCAAAAGTTCATCAAATACTACGTGCTCACAAGCTCAAACATTACTCTATGCATTACCAAAACTATTTACTCACTGTTAAAATGTTCAGAAAACACGCTTTGGTAACACTGGAAAGCCATATATCTATGATATATCACTTTAAGTTCTATGAACAAAAGAATTTAGCTTTAAGTATTGAAAGGATATTGGAAGAAAAATAGTGCGAGATAGTTTACAATGAAAGTGTGCTTGGCAGAAAAGAGTAGATAAAGCGATTTCCATATTGGTATATTCCAAACAATAAACAAAATAGAAATGCTGCCTTGAAAATTTTTTACTAAATAACTTTTATGTAGCGATAAAATGTTATAGATATATAAACAAAAGAGAAGATTTTCGATGAACATCCTGATTTTCTGCTTAGCTCATTTACGCAAAGACGGTGTGAAATATTCATTGAAATATATGCATATATTTATATACAAACCAGATATTTATTAAAGACGATGTTTTGTGAATGTAGTTTTAAGCGATTTGCATTGTAAATGGATACGTTTTTCGGGTGTGGGTTATTTATTGCAGTTTTAGGATTTAGGCAATTTCAAAGTGTCGTAGACAAAACAACAAATAACTATTTATAATATTTATTTATTTATATACATATTTATTGACATTTTATGTCCAAAAAACGACAAATATTTTTTATACACAATTATTTATTTATTTATTGCTTACAATGTGGTGAAATACAATTTTTACAATGGTGTAAAAATTACTTATTTAATAAAATATTTATTTATTTATCGATTTTTTATGAAGAACAAAAACACTTAGGAGCAAGACAATGAATAAATCGATGCCACTCTTAGGTGATTAAGCATTATTTATTTATTAACTTAATAAGGCGTTTATTTTTACGCCAAAAAATAACAGAAACAACAATCGAGTAAAACACTAGCTAACAAAAGTGTTGAGCTAAACATTTCCCTCTTAAACAAATGCCATTTTAAAGAAAATTACAAAATAACTTATTTATTTATTTATTTTAGCATTTAGTGAAGAAATAGTGTTTTTAATAATTCACCTAAGACAATAAACGTCAAGTTGTGCCTATTTAATTTATGCAAAAATCTAATGTGCTAATTTATTTATTACATAATTTATTTATTTATTTATTGGCGCCATAGCGCTATAATGACCTATAATGGTCGACATAGCCAAGATTCAAGTAGCTTTAAGCGTTTCAGAATACACGAGGCAAGCACGAGTTGTTGGAACATAATTTTATGTAAACACAGTTGCCAAATATTTCTGACCATATTTTTTAATAACTCAATGGGAAATTAATTGTGAACTCAAACAAACTCATACAAAAACATAAGAAGCGTACAACTTATAGTTGATTCTTATTTTATTTATATTTATTTATTTATTTATTACCGAACAATCTATTATTTATACCATAATTTATTTATTTATTAAAAGCAAAAAAAAAAATAATAATGTTTAAAAAATAATTATTTATTTATTTATTTATTGCAAGAATTGTAACATTTCGACAAAAGAAATAAAATGCAATTGACATGTGTCAAAAAAAGTATTGTATTAACTTGACTTGAAGAATATAATTAGCATTTTGGTTTTTTCCACTTCGGTTTATCTTCTTCCGATGCAACATTCACAATAGTGTCACTATTTGAATGTAAATTGTAACTACGCTATGGTTTATTTATTTCTTACAAGAAATATTTTTCTTTAAATAAATTTCTTTTTGGTATAATAGAGTTTCATAAGTTAGCCAAAAAGGGGATCTGAATGCGAAAATATGTCAATTTATGTATTTATTAACTGTTTCACAAAAACATATAAAAAGCCTAGAGTAATACTCTAAATTTTCGATTGGCGCTAGAAACAAATTTATTTCCTACAACTCACTGATACGAGATGAAACGTACTACTCAGCAGAAGCGGAAGCTATATATTATAAGGGTAATTTTTTTGGAATGCATGTAGCGGTTTTGAAATTTTATTGAAATATCTTCATACAAAAATAAATTTACGCCATTTACAGCGAGAAAATATCAGTATTCCTTTTGTTTCTCAGCTAAAAATTGAGATTTTATAAAAAGATTAATTTTTTTTTTACTAAAGGTATAATATTTTTGAGGTAGCCTTAAGTAGTTAGATAGAGAAAACTATCTAACGGCAAGAACGAATGGTCTTAGTCGGCATGACATAAAGTTTGCATCTCAGATTTCGATTGTGACACAAAATCTGCAAGATCTGACAGACACTAAACGACGAATGAGAATACTTATGTATGAGAAAATGATTTTTGAGATAAAGAGATAAAGCTTCTACTACCGAAGCACGCTTTTTCTAGTTCATTTGACTTCCATCAATAGGGTAGAATCTTTTGCTTTATACCAAATTCGCAGCATGGCCGACGACGATCGCCAAACTATAGAATAATATATGCGTACATTGTCTGCGCCTATCCTCCTATTCAATGTGTTATTCAACATGTATAGAATACCAGATGCCAGATAAAAAGCTTTACAAGGTACTTTTTCATATCAGCAATTCATTCCGAGGTTTGACATTGCCTGCCAAGAAGAGACCACCATTAAACAAAACATTACCGTAAATTAAAACTTAGTGGAAAACTTTTCGAACTTAAAGCTCCGGAAAACCGAACCGTTAAGCTAAGTTAAACACAAGAGTTTAAAATTTCAATAAGACAGGCACTTACATACACACATGTATAATATTCACAACGTAATAGCAGCTGGTAATCGCTGTGTATGCCGCCCAGACCGAAAGGTGTAGAAAGGCAAGAGGTTAAAGAAATACACAGTAATAAGTAACTATTCGTTGGCGCGGTAGTTGGCTTCGCCATATGTACGCTGTAGTTCTCCCGTACTCACCGCGAGCATAATCAAAGTTTGCTACAATCGCATATACCAAACATAGCTCTAATGGAGCGTACAACTTAAACACATATTCGCATCAGAGTGTGTGTGTTTAAAGTATTCGAATAAATAAAAGGGAAATATGAAAAAGGAGCGAATCTTATATAATATACATATAAAAGCAAACACACAAGAGGAAGAACAGACTTTGCACTTCGTGTGCCAGCACATACGAAGACGTTGGCTTAATGCGAAGAAGGTCCTTCCAAAGGCAAAGGGACATTGCACCAGTGCACGGCATCGTCCTGCAGTGCCGATACGAAAGAAAATGCAATCAATGCCAAGAACCTGAAGTGCATACATATATATACATAAGTATAGGTATGTTTGAGCACACAATTGTGCATTTCCCCTCTGTACCAACAGCTACATATTGAGCTATTACGAAGGCGGAGCAGTCAGCGTGCGCGAGTGTAAATGTGTATATGTGTGTGTAATATATTGATAGTAGCGAGGTAACTTTAACAAAGTTGTAAGGGCGCTGCACCCCCCAGCCACCACGTCAGTTTCAGTTATGGTTCTCGTGTTACACAACCATCTGTGAGAATGAGGAAAAGTGTATTTGGTCACTTGTAACAGCTGCCACCTACACCGATGAGTCTTACCTAAGTTTTTTCTTGTTATACCCTCAACAGAGTATATTAGGTTTACCACGAAGTTTGTAGCACCCATGAAGAAACGTCGATAGATATAGCCATGTTCATCGGTCTGTTCATCTGACTGTCGACGTACGCGAACTAGTCCCTAGTTTTTGAGATATAGATCTGAATTTGGACACGTTCTTTAACCCTGCCTATTTGTTGGAATCGTCGAGTTCGGGTTAGTAAAGAATATATAATATATTTTTATTTGACAAGATTTTTTCACGAAATTTTGTATGGATTATTGTTCTGATCGATCAAAACCAAGTTCTTGTATGGAAAAGTTTTTTATTTCAAACGATATTTTCATGAAATTTCGCATAAATAATTGCTATATATATATATAATATTGCTATTTATATATATATTATTGCTATTTATATATATATTATATATATTAGGGTGGAGTGAAAAAACAAATTTTTGTTTGCTTAGCCTGAGGGTAAAATTTTTAGATTATAAAAAAAAAATGTTTGAAAAAAATAACAATTTATTTTTAACATCTAGAGGCTCACTTTTAAAGTAAATTTCGAAATAAAATTTTTATTTCGTTCAAAATTTTTGATAAGTGTTCTAGAAGTTGTGGAGAGTTCTCTTTCGGGCCAATTAAAAGTTATCAACTTAAAAAAAAATTTTGTGGTCATTATTGGAGTTTTAAAAAAAGTCTCGACCGACAACATGCTTTCCTTAAGCGTTAAAATAAATTTTGAGTCAAAAACCGTCAAACCCGGTAATTTTTATACAAATGTGAAGAGTTTCAACCAAAAAAAATTGTTTTTGTCCAAACACTTTAAAAATGAAAGCGCCTCTAGATGTTAAAAAAAATTTTTTTCCAAAAATTTTCTTTTTTTATAATTTTTAATAATAGATGTTAAAAAATTTTTTTTTTCCAAAAATTTTCTTTTATTATAATCTTTACAATTTTTTTTCGCTCCACCCCAATATATATATATAATTGCACTATAGCTACCATACGAGCTAACTAATCGAAAGCAAAATCTTGTATGGACAATTTTTTAATTTGTGAAGGGTATTATGGCTTAAGTAAAATTTTTCTATTGGTTTTGTTTTTATTTTCGCTTTCTGCTAATAATTAAAATATGCAAATATTTACCATTTACTTTGGTGTCAGTGTGGACGCAACAAAGTTTAATAGATTGTGCAACTAAGCAGCACATCATCTCCTTGTGCCGTGTAGTGCCTTAGTAAACAGTTGAGTTTGTGCGTGTTACCGCTGCTAAACTTCCACAGCGAAAGTCAATTGATTCACCACTAGCACGCACACACACACACATCCACATACAAACACACACTTATACATACACATCAAAAGCAACATACAATCAGCAACAAAAAGTTGCGCATCTAAAAAGCAATATCCTCACTTCCAAAGCTCGTTTTAATATTTCCTCTAGTCGGTATTTCTTCCACACCTTCATTTTCGTCTTCTTTTGACATATAATTTGCATGTAAACAGCGCATTTTTCTCTGGCAATTTTTTACTCTGCAGCTAAGCTCATGCGTCCTTGCTTGTAGCAGACTTTGTTTTAAGGTTTAGAAAATTTGTATTTTCCTAGCAGCTTGGCGTATAGCAGTGGCCACAATAATAGAGTGACAATGTTGCACATTCTATTCGGTAAATTATTCTATGCAAATGTAACGGTTAATTCGAAACTATATTTATATGGACCCAGCATGTTTTGGTTCACACACGGGCATTTGTTGGTTGAAAATAGAAAAATTAAGAGTATCTTGATTTCTTAGTATTGGTGTTATCTCTGACGTCATTATGAAAAGTAAAACAAATAAATTAGAATTATTTGAAACAAAAAATTTGCTTACGCTCTCTCAGCTTGTAAACCAATCAATAGAATTCCGCTACTTAATGTTCAACAACTGATGTGAAGAGAGAGCCCGTGTTGTAGCAGAATTTTTAAAAACCTTAACGAGTTTAGTTATGCAAAACGTTAAAAGGCATGTGTAAAACGGTAGATACTTCCTACCGGCACTCTATAAAAGGGACTGTAGGAACATGATTGGAATACTCACTGGTCACTGTTTGGTGGCGGCATACGTCTGCAGAATGTGACTGACAGATCGAGAAGACTGCTGGAAGTGTCAATAGCAGGGCACCACAGAAACAATGGAGCATCTCTTGTGCACTTGTCACGCATTGGCAAAGCTACGCTATAAGAATTTGTCGGCCCCACGGTATGAGGCACTGGAAGAGGTATCGATAGTGAGGCCACAGAGTTTATTGAAATTCGCGTCAAGCGCAGGCATCCTAAAGGGGGACTACTCCTCATGAACTTTGTAAATGAACTCCACATGGTATCGCAATGGCTCCAAACTGGTTATGCGTAGCTTATTAGAGTACCAGACTAACCTAACCTAACTTAACGATAATAAGAGTTATATGGTGCTCGTGCAAGTGGAAGAAATAAGAAGCACGAATTTTAGTTTGACATGCTTGTGAAAATCTGATATTAAAGTTGCGATGAGTTTATGTTTCTTTCTCAATCTAGAAGAAGAATAATTCACAATCGGAGTACAGTAAATATAGCAAAGTTAATTTTTTAATATCAACAGTCAACTATAAGAATAAAATGTGTCATTATGACAGAAATCTTCTTAAGCGTCGTCTTTTGGTTTATTACTAAATTGGCTATATCTTTCTTAAATGTAAACTAAATTCAAAGATTGGCAGTTACTCAAAGGAAAAATAAAAAGCGAACAAGTAAGAGTGGTTAGCGGTAATGTTTGTTCGTAAGCAAACCAGATCCATGCAGAATTATGATGCCTTCTCCACTATTTTAAAGTTAAAAAAAGCAAATACGGAAGCACTTGGAGTACTCGCTTTCGTATTTAGAACAATCTTTCGGACAAAAGCAAATTACAGAAGCATTATATAATTATAGGGTCCATCAAAAAAACTGTTTTCCTCACAAAGCTGAAATACAAAATGTTAGAAGCTATATCATATATCTCAGTTTTACCATATATTTCAT